CGTTATAGTCGATCCTGCGACTCCTACGCCTTCCGGACCGCGCGAGAATCGAGAAATTTTGAAGTTCCTCGCCGCCGACCAATCAGAGTCGGCTTTTCGGTCGTTTTGAGCCGCACTAAGCCTAAAGGGGCCCCATTTTTTGTTGAGTTGTTATATTATAGACTGTCGATTTGGTGTGGCGGCCGAGAGAGCGTGGTGTCATGAAGCCTTTAGCCCGATGGACCTCATTTCATTCGCTGTGCGGGCAACTGCCGTCCACTCCAATGCCACTATGATGACGATAGTACTTGGAGCGAGTTCAAAGCCGGTCATCGGGCTACCGTTCGTTGAGCTTCGCAAAGGGAAGAGAGGAAGAGAGTGACTCAAGCATGGTCACCAACTGAAATGCCTCAATACGGTGTGGCATCAACGACACCGCCTGCAGCATTCGACGAGGACAGCAGAATGGAGGTGCCGATTGCAAGTATACATGAGAATTAGCTGTGCTCGCTATCGTGAGTCATGCAGAGCGCCGGGCACACTCCGTCAAGTCTCCTTTAGCCGTTGCCATTCTCCGTCGTGAAATTCCTTTCCTTGCCCAAGTCTTCGGGACTGATGCGACCCAACAAGACTTCCATTATGCTGTAGGAGGCACCTGGGCGGATTAGCAAGGCATGCTTCCATCGTCGAAAACAGCGTCATTGGACGATTGCGACTTACCTGGTGCACCTGCAGGTAGCGTATGCCCAGCCAGTTGAATTTGATAGAAGGTGAGTCCGCGCTCGTGGCCCCATTTGCCGACGTAGCCAGCACCAGAAGGCGAGCCGGGAAGATCCTCGTGGTATGGCGAGAAGAAGCTATGACCAGGGAATTCCTTAAACCCTTGCCAACCATTCCATGTCATATTCTGCAGGACGAGAAGAGTTCCATTGGTGTTTAACAGAATGTCCAAGTTGCCACATCCAATAATTACCCGACCGAGCTTCTCAATGACAGTCTGCAGGACGCCGTTGTGGGCTGGCGGTTGAGAGAGATCTGCGTCGTACATACTAGTCAAGTTGGTCTGGTTTGGGAAGACCGGATGATGTGCACAGACTTCCCATGCCCAACCTTGTGGAACATGAAGCAGCTCTTGGACATCGCTGCGGTTGAAAAAGATTTTGTTGGGTTCGGGATTATAGTCGCTGTTCTCAAAATCAACATTGTCCGCATGTGTTAGGGCGAGGCGATACACTCACGACCCGATCGCGCCAAGCACTGATCCAGGTTTTGGGCAAGTATCGCTGATGTGGTAGATGTTGAAGCAGGGATTGGCGATAGAGGCCTCCCCGGCGACCCTGTCCAGCGTATCGCACGGGTCAAGGGTGTTGCTTTCTGAAGTGAAGAAGTTCTTCAGAACCGGAAACCTTTCTTGCGGAGCCGGAAATGTGAGATATTTATCCAGAAAAGACTTGTAGCCGCATTTCTCGTGTGTGGCCGTTAGGTTTTTCATGACAGTATCGTTCAAACCGAGCATATTCTGCCAGTATTGAGCAAAAGGAACGATAGTGGCGGCCTGCTGAGCAATAGCGTCGCCCACAATTGGGTCATTTATGTGAACACCCTTTAGGGGGAAGTCAGAGCTGTTTTTCTTGATGAATGCGTTACCGATGTAGGGCAAATAAAATCTGACGCGTCGTTAGCAGAGCGCATGAGCCAGCAAGACGGGTGTAGTACCCAGCATAGGACTCTCCCGTAAGGTAAATGTTCCAGCCTTTGATATCGAATGTCTCTGCGAACTGCTCGTAGAAGCTCACGAACTGTTCTCCAAGCTCGAATTCATTGGTGATATTGGGCTTTCCCTGCGTGAAGCCTACGCCAATCGGCTGCTCAACCCACATGACATTGGTAAGATTTCTCCAGTCGTAGGTGTTCTGCACCGGCTCTGGGACTCGTCAGACCCTGTACTTGCCAGTGTCCGTCCATTGTTCAAGATGGCATCGTTGCTTACTAGGAGTTCCATCGGACCAAGTAAAAGGGCCATTCTCGGTCAAAAGGCCGATGAGAGAGCTGCAGCCAGGTCCGCCATTGAACCTGCGATTCGCAACGATCAGCGCCCAAGCTTCAATTAGGTTCTTGCCCCCGTGACAATTGATTGTTCAGTGCTGAGACCGCCGTATCTCTCCATACATACCATATGGCAACCTCTTTCGGTCCCGTCTGATTCAGCGAGGGCCAAAACCAGAAAAAGTATTTTCTGGTCTCGTTCGTGGCTCCGGTGATGGGAAGAAGTCCTGAAGCGCCACTCAGCGCGAGATTGGTGCAAGAATCATACGCCCCATCGTACCTGCATACGACTCGCCAGGGTCAAAGTTGAGCTCCGGCAGCTTCTCGCCGTCCACGGCGAATTGTCTGGTCTTGTTGGTCAAGAAGCGCGTCGTTGATGGACCATTGAAGTTCTGATGGGTCTCGCGTCGCTCAGCTCGCGTGATGGCATTGGGGGGATGATCTGCGACGACAGCGTCCAGTATGCTGGTCAGAGCGATGAGGCTTGCTAACACACGCATCATGGCCTGTTGATCAGCACACAAGCTGCGAACTGATCGCGAGAGGGTGCCAGCTACTCCAGCAGACGGGATCCAAGACGTCGCGGTGCAGGCGGAGGTTGAATTCGTCCGCAGAAGGAGAGTTTGGAGGCGCAAGGGTATCACCGGCAAGGGTTGAAAATTGAAATCCACCCCAAGGTGCAAGGGTGTTAGACGACGCTGTTGCAAATAAAATGCCGAGTGTCGCTGTGATGATGTGATGATACACGCCGGGTTGCGCGAGGTCGAGCAGCAGTGTACCGGTCACACTACCACGACGAAGCCACAAGCACCGAAATGTAGCAGTGCTGCCTCGGCAACTGTGATGACATTGATACGGAGCCATCTGTGCTTCCACATCGATGCTGTGTGTTCATACCAATAGAATATGCCGACCTCTGACTCCAACGCACCTCCTTCGGCATGGTACACTGCTGATCCAGCCCGTGTGCGCGAAATCAACATTGGACGTGCGCTGCCGAAGCGGTATTTGTGGCTGATCGATCATTCGCCCTCTGTGATTGCAAGCAACATTGCTGAGATCCGCAAGGCAGCTTGAAGTCAGTTTGGTCGGGATGCTACCAAGATCAACTTCTTCAGGTCGTGCATGGGACTGGACAAAGCGCACGTGCACGAAATGGATATAGCTCAATACGAAAACTATACATCTCCAACGATTGTCGGTATCTCGCTAGAACGCAGCATGACATCGATCTGGAATATAGTGGTCGGCCAAAGCTCTGTCTTGATTAATGCACATTTTCAGCTTTGATGACACCTGCCAGCGGCTGTCAGCTTCCAGTCTCAATGATCCATCCTAGTCAATCTTCGCAGTGACCTTACCATTCTTCAGCGTCAACGTAGCGACGTACGCAGCTCGAACCTTCTGGTGGTTCCTGCGAAGATCACAGTCAGCTTTGCGTTCGAAGTTTCTGCACTTCTCCTTCTTCGCCCCCGGACCTGCTGGAGGAGCAAGGGATGGATCTTCCGTCTCATTCTTCGGCTGATAGACGTACCCATGCCACACAGCCTTATTTCCGTTGATAGCTATGTCCAGGCCACCAGGAGCTTTCATACCCATCGTGCCTGTTCCAAAAAGTCGGCCTCTGCGGATATATGGTCCAGTAATCTTATCTGCAATGGCGTATTGAACATCGTAGCCATCGGTCTGGTAACATTGTGACGAGAAGAACAGGACATATTTCCCATTCATGAAAGTCAAGACTGGAGCTTCGACATAAGGCCCGTCAGATGCAATGTTCGTCAGAATCTGTTTCGGAGAACCGATAAGGGTGTGGCCATCCTGACCGACTTGCTGGAGAAGAATTGGGGTTGGAACGATGGGTTTTACAGTGTTACCGCAAGCACCTCCGTGGCCAATGGCGTTGCCGTCGATTTTGTACACGACCCAACGTTTCCCTCCGTTATATTCGTCCGTGAAGCCCGCGATGTCGATTGCACCGCCCTGCTTAGTGGGACAAATCCAAGGCTCTTTAGAGTTGTCGACGAAAGGGTCAGTAATCTTCTTTGCGGTGGCGTAGGAAAGGCAATGGAGGTGAGGCATCTTCTTGTACGCTGCTGTATAGTAGAGCAAATAAGAGCCATCGTGGACTTGGACCACGTCTGGTGCCCACACGCGGGGAACTCCATCGACCCAGGCGGGAAGGTTAGGGAGAGCGTCGACGCCTTTTCTGAAGATGAACTTCTTCCAGTCGGTGGTTACTGCTCTTTGGATGTGAATCATCTTGCCGTCAACCTTGGCGTTTGTGGAGAACAGGTGCCAGCCTGTGGGTGTCTTGATAATTGCTGGATCAGGAAAGTTGACACCATTCATAATAGGAGTGGCCGTTGCTCGTTTGTATGGATTCGCATTGGTCGGTGCCAGGAAAGCCAGAGCGCACAGCGCGATCTCAGCTGCGGAGGTGCTGTACATATCGAAGAGACTGCGAACGATCTGGTATGAAGTCGGGGCTGTACAAAAAGGCCAAAATCACTGCATCTACTATCCGAAGCAGAGGCAGTCGTGGTGTTATTGCAACAGTGGGATATGTGCGAATTTGGTAGCGAATGTGGGTGCCAGAAGCGTGAATTCCTTTCGTTGTTACCGAATGAAAACGGAAATTCTCGAAGAGGAGAACATCGAAGCCATCTGGTATCGTTATTGTCTTTTTGCGATAAAGGCATTCTCTTTCTTCTGATAGCGTTATGAGATTCGCGTGTAATCAGGTACAAAGGAATGATAGTGATGGGTGGCCAGAACAGCGCTTTCCATGACGAAGTGGTGGCTTAACAAAGAAAGGAGTGGATGTCGAGAATGGAGCTCGAGAACTCGACACGCTGTGACATTGGCTTGGCGGGAGAGGATCATGTTGTGCTGATGAGGAAATACCTACGATCAAACCTAGCTCTGGCAAGGCGTTGCATCAATCGCCGCATCGCCTCATGAAATATTCGCAATTTTTCTGACGGCGACCAGCCCCTGCGCCCTGCGCCCCGGCGTTGTTAGATCTCAGGTTGTATCGCGACCGGACAGTGTACGAGAGAAGCGCGCGCAGCTCCTCATGTATTCGAAAGGGAGCTTGATTTGACCGCAGGATCAGGCCTAGCGCCAATCTTTGTTCGGGTCGATGCGATGCATGGCGAAAATGTGTGCTGTTTTGTGCGAGATCCACACGATTCAGCGAGCAGGTATACGCTTTGCTCGGAACTCCGCTTTGAAGTCGCTGAATGCAAAAGAAAGCCCCATTGCCATCGTGCAGATAAGACTGCTGTGATCGGCGCGGCTGTGCTCGAGCAAGCAGGCCCCTGCCAGCTGCTTATCAGATGCCAAAGGGTGTTATAGTGGTCCTTGTGGTGGTATTCGAGGTCGCACTTTTCGAAAGACCTTCTGGTGGAGGATCGTATGTTGCCGATGGGACTGAACCTCAGTTGAACCACGTTGACAGACCATCCCGCGAGCTGTAAGCTCATGATCCCACCCGAGGTCAAGTGTGAAATCTCTTGATCGAGACGATCACCGCACTCGGCTGGTTGCGAGCGTCAAAGACATAGCTCTAGGCATCCCCATGTGGCCTTCGTACGTCCATTTTGTGCAAGTAAGCTCACACATCTGCTACGACGTCGTCTGGGTTCTCTCCAACCATTTCGGCAACTCTTCTGACCACTCCCTTGAGAGCAGCACAAGCAGGTGAGTCACCAAAGTTGTCAAAGAAGCTTTCGCCATAGTCACAGGCCATGCCGATCCTAGGATCCAGTGGTACTGAGCCCAAGAAAGGTATGCTCGTCTCCTTTGCCAGTCGTCTCCCTCCACCGGTAGTTGCTCTGAAGATTTCGGATTGGTGCGTGCACTTTGGACACACAAAGCCGCTCATATTCTCGACGAGTCCAATGATCTTGATGCCAGCTTTCTTGCAGAAGTCAATCTCCTTTCGGACGTCCAATAAGCTGACTTCTTGAGGTGTCGTTAGCAGAACGGCTCCATCTATGCCAGATTCTTTCAGCAAGCTGTTCACGCTAATATGTTCGTCAGTCGTTCCCGGCGGGGTGTCGACGACGAGATAGTCCATTTGTCCCCACTCGACATCCTTCAAAAACTGCTTAATAAGTCCAGTTTTCTTGTTACCTCTCCAGATGAGTGCATCGTCTCGATTGGGAAGCATGAATTGAACACTCATGACTCCGAGGTTGTCGCTCACCCAGACTGGCTCCCAGCCGGTGTTCGTCACGTGTATCGTTTCGCGTTCCACGCCCATCATTTTTGGTATCGAGGGGCCGCAAATGTCAGTGTCCATTATACCGACCAGGCTGTCGGGATTCGAAGCGAAGGCATGCGCAAGCATGGTCGTGAATGTGCTCTTGCCGACGCCCCCTTTGCCCGACAAGACCAAAATCTTATGCCTCACATGTGCCAGCCGCTGAGTGATGATAGGAATATCTGGATCGGGTCCTTTTGGCGTTTGTGAAGCACATATTTGCTGATTTGGACAGCCGACGCAGGCATCAGCTTTCCCAGCAGTCTCGCCCTCCGGACCGGGACAATGCTCAGGCTCAGGGGCTACTAATGACGGTTTCGCCTTGGATGCTGCGTCTAGTGCATCGTCCACCGGTTGGATAGGCTCAGGCTCCTCCAGCGACGGCGCCATGCTGCTTGTAGACCGGATCTAGAGGGTGTGTAGCGCTTCAGACCGCGAGAGGGAGGGGAGGGCTGGTTGAAGGAGTTCCCAGGAGGCAGTGAAGCCTTCGAAGGTGGGAAGCGCAGGGTAGGATTATGTACAGACTGAGGATTTGCACGATACAGACTAACGGATTGTGGTTTGTGCTGTGGGTGCGCGTCAAAGGCGAAGTGTAAGTGGGTGGATGCAGAGATGACGTCGCCGAGCACATTCCGCGATGCGATGCCTCCTCACAGCGCAGCGCAGCGCAGCAAGAGGCCAAAAAACGCTCAGCAGCGTACGCGCACCTCACCTCAGCAATGGCATTGGGTGTCCACGACTAACTTATGCGGCGTCAACCGCTTTCAGAAGCGCGGCCTTCGACTCGCTCGACTCCATTGAGCTAATGCACGGCCTCGTCGATATCTACCTCGCCGCCTTCAAAGTGTGCGAGCGCGCCAGCTTCGAAGCGACTCCTGAAGGCCGATAATTACGCGCAAGTGGCCATGGAGTCCATCAAGGCCATGCCAGCCATGCCATGCCCAAGTCGGCCATCTCAGCTTGACGGCTGACGGCATCGCGAAGTCGGCATCTGGTCCTGCCAGGCAAGGAAGGGGAGGGCGGGCACATCGTGCGCTGGCTGGCTGGCCGAGAATGTTAGCAAAGACTTGGACAGCACATCATGGACGGGAGCAGTATCATCCACGGGCGCATGTTGGCAAGAGCAGGAGCATGGCATGTGGAAGAGCACAAGACATCGCAACTGCAATGGCCGGGCGTTGAGCCGGCCCATGTGCCCGCGCGCGTGAAAGAGAAGCAGCAGCTACCATACGCGGACAACAATGGAGCTGTGTCGGACGTGTCGATGAGCTGGACAGCGTTACCTAGACAGCGAGAGACGGGGGCCTCTGGAGGCTTCTATGCACATGCTGCCGAGCACGGCGGCTTCAACATATGACGCTCCTGCCACCCTCCAGCATCTGTGAGTCTCTGGGTTGGATGAAGGCGTTCCATAATCCTGCTGCGATTGCCTCTTCTGAACGAAAGCACATGTGCCCATCTCCGGTGCCATCGCTCCGGTAGAAGGCGTTACCATTGCGACGGCCGCGTAGACGACACCCTCGCCGCAAATCAGACACCGAACGTTCCATCATCGTTAATCGTGAAGCATCCCAGCATCTATCAATTCCCACATTTGGCAGAGCCTAGCCGGGCGGGCTAGGTCAGTTAGTCGGGTCCGATCAGGAAGACGCACAGACCCAGTCGCTTTGTTCATCTCACTCGAAGCGGGTCCGATGTTGCCTTGCAATTACTGCATGTATTTCACGGTCTTTGAGGCTGAGTGACCTGTCAGAAAATGCTTACTGACATTTCGCTCCCAGTAACACCGCGGCCATGAAACCCACGAAACCACGAGTGGCCGACCTAACATTGCTGTCCCAACCATAGATGCGTCTGTGCTTGAAGCAAGTCGACAAATGGCGCCGCTTTGTCTTTGTCGCATTCAGGGCATGACGGCTTCCAGCGTGGCAATTCCCGAAGGTCAAAGAAATTCTTTGTCCACACGCAGCCACCGCGGCAAGTAGGCGCAAGAAATAGCATCTCATTTGATTGTCTTGAAAGCTTCTCCAAGCCCAAGAGGCGGCTCAGAAAGGACTCTCCTCGAGCTCAAGGTACATTAGAGGCATTGGTTCATCATTAAATGCCATCTTGCGTAGTGTAGACAGCCTCTGCGCCGCCCGAGCCGGCCTCTTGCGCTCAAGAACTCGTCCCGCTCGCCCCGAGCAGATCTGGAGAACAATCGTACAAGATGTCTTTCTCAGCGCCAGTTCGGCCTGACATGCTCGCACTACTTTATGGCCAACACCAAAGCTACACCGCAGAGCTCGGGCAGACTCACCAGAAACTGAGTAAGCAGTACAAGAAAATGTCTAAGGTCGAGCGAGTCCTTTCCGAAAGACAAGATCGACATCTGTCTAGGGAGGAGAGAAAAAAGTGGCAGTACTCTCGCGTCTTGACCAAGCGCAACATCGCGGTCATGGAATTTCAGCAAGCGAGACTTCATGACATGCTGAGACAATGTAACGATCTGATTGCGTCCTTCGAACATGGCGGCGGCGCAACCCACAATTCTCCGATGACTCCTTGGGGTGCAGCGGCAACGGATCTATCGTCCCAGCAACTTCCACCATCTCCATTTCTGTTCACGCCATTCAGCCCGATCGCCTTCTCTCCGTATACTGCGGTGCCAGCATTCCCGCACAGACCTAGCTTTGGTGGCGCTTCTACTTCTGCCGAAGGCATACCGCAATACTGGGACTTGTCCATGCTGTCGGAACCACAGCGTGAGAGAAGACTAAGTTCGCCCTATGCTACCGGATCTTCCGCCGCCGATAGTGGCTTCTACGAGCCACATGCATTGCGGCACGGAGTGGGGAACAGCCTCAATGAAGATGCCCCTGCCACTGACGCACGAGGCCATGTGTACGCCCACGAGTTGATGTCTCCTCTTGCTCCTGAGTTTGTGTTCGGAGGTGGCGACAGCCATGAACTTCACTCGCCCATCTCTTCGGCTACTTCTGGAATCACAGAAAGGGATCAAGTGCCGGATTTGGTGATCCTATCGCCTGCCAAGCTGGGTGCATCGACGGAAAATGCAAAGATAAACTCTCACAAGCGGTGTTACTCTGAAAATGCTATTCAGCTTGACAATGACAGCCACCTGGCCACGCCCGTGGCTTCATCTGTGACCAAGCGAGGCACCAGTGTTGGGCCCGCTCCGGTCGGGAGGAAGATAATGCGCGAGGATGAGCAATGCGATGGACGCCAGGATGTGGGGACGACGACGACGGAAGAGTAGCAAATGTTCAGAGTGAAGTCATTGGAATAGATACATAGCACCTTCGTATAGACCCCTCGGCACCAAACAAGCAGCGCGTCAGACGTGTAATTGTGACTAGTGCCATTGCCGGAGGAGTTCGGCACCACGCCATGGCCGTCGCCATCGCCATCGCCATCGCCATCGCCATCGCCATCGCCATCGGGCTGTGGTTGGATGGTTGCTTTGCGTTCAGCCTCACCTTCAGGCCGTGACCTCACCTGTCCAGCGTCCACTGCTCCTCCTTTTCTTCCCACTCCCACGCCCACTCCCACTCCCACCATGCGCGTGGGGATCTCGCGACTGCAGCTTCTATTCTTTCTCTCGCCTCGCCTCGCCTCGCCTCGCCTTGTGCCCGCCGTCCGGGATCTCGTGTCGACGGAGGATTCTCGCGCCGTGTCACGCTGGCGAGCTGGCGAGGCGCGATGCAGATCCAGTGGGCAAGGGCCCCGGTCACGCCAATCCCAATGCAGCATGCTGCCACTCAGCCTCAACGGCATCGCATCGCATCGCATCGCATCGCATCGCATCGCATCGCGTCCGAACAAGCACGTCACGTGCCGTCGGCGTTGCACGACTTCTCACAACGCCGCCTGTCACTTGGTGCGGACAATAGAACTAAGACACGTCAGGGCGTGAGACAAGGCCCGAATAATGCAGGCGCGTCCCGTGCATCAATGATCAGACACGATGCGATGCGATGCGAACAATACGTAATCCACTCGACGATGTACGCCATCTTGCCCATCAAGGAGCCGAGGACCTGGCTACTGCCATGTACATGATCTGATGGAGGTCGCGGCCCGATCTCCAGGAGAAGTGACACCGGCTCGGCTGAGTACCCCATGTCTCTGTCCCCGACGCCTGGTTCAGAGCGGCCCGATGCAGCCATGCGCATTTACGATGGAACCTGAAACGAGCGACGTTCGGCCGTTTGGGCCTCAAGCCTCTACGGCACCCGGCATGTTTCCGCTTGATCACTACGCTGAAGCCGGCTGAGCACAAACGAGAGCCATCTGTAACATGGACTGCCTCGTGACAGCAGCCGCGGCACTGCTCAAAATAGGCGGGCCTGCCTCTCAACACGCCGTGCTCCATGTTGTTCCCATTTGGGTCTGTTGGGTCTGCTTGACAGATGGTCATGGCCGAGATGCATATCCACTCTGTCATTTCCATTCATTTGGCAGGGGACGTGAGTGATTGTTTGTCCCTTACCTCCTCCGCCACTGCGCGCGATTTCCTTGCCTGGAAATCATCCCTGCCGACAATTGGCGTGCGGCTTCCTGCATACCAGCAAACACACGCACAACTCAACTTTCACATCGACACGCAGGTCAAACGTGTTCCTGCAACGTCATCTGGGTCTGGTCGAGCCCACTGTTTCCAATTTTTGCTTTTGGTGAGGACCTGGATGTTGGGCCAGGCACCAGATCCATAAGATCTTGCTCCGCCTCGCTGCATCTGCTTGCGGGAACTGTACTTTGCGTGCGTCGTTTGTCACCCTTTTGGAAAGCATTGGGCTCAGGAGGAAGAAGACGATCAAGATGGCCACTCCACCAAACGAGCCACCCTTTCTCCCTCCCCGAAAACCAAAGTCGACTCCAGATCTGCGGGCGACGCGATCAAGTCGATTCTCATCGCCAAACTACTTTCCACCTCGCCGACCTACTCCAACTGCTTCACCATCATTGAGTAGGTCCTCCACCATTCGAAGGGATGTCGATGCAGTCGCTGGTGCAGACGATCGACCTTGGACCGCTTCATCTTCTGCAACGCATGTGAATGCCGAGGCATATGATAGGCTACATCGTCCTCGACCTGCGTTCGACAGCAACCGAGACGTCATTCGCCCAGTAACACATGCTTCACGCTTACCATCGGGCAACGGTGTTGCTCGGCATTCTTCACTTCGCTTCGAGAGCGGCCTCTCGCGTAGTCTGCGGAAGTCAATCGCCCCTGCCGCAAACATGGACTTCTCGCAGTCACATACGTCGCTTGAAAGACCTGGTAGCAGGCCGCGAAGCCATCCTCCCTCTCGAACCAACTTCAGCTTTCTCGGTCACGGACAGGGTACAGACGATCAAGCTTCCTCATCAACTGCGCAGCCTTCCGACGACGATATCTGGCGATTGCCGCCTTTACAACAGCCCTCGATTAGCAGGAGTAGCTCTCAACATTCTTCCATGATGCGACCTAAGCCAAAGCCATCCTTCACGAGACTTCAATCCCTCGACAACTTCATCATGTGGAAGGAAGAGAAAGCGGAGTGGAGGCGCGCATCATCTCTTATGCAGTCCGGCCTCGGGGATTCAGACGAGCAGCAGTATTACGAGCGAGAGCCGACGATTCGCTCCGAGCCCGATACTGTTGTCCAAGGTGCAGACCAGATCATCGATGAGAAGGGAGAGGAGCTTGAGACTGCCCGCAATTCTCCAACCCCATCTGAAGACGATGAACGTGATGAGGAGGATGTAGTGCAGCAGCCAAAATCGCGCTTCCGACATTCGTTCTCGGAAGTTGGTTTCTGCTTCACCATCGCCATGACACAGTTCCTCGCGGAATACATGATCTCTGGATTTGCAATTGAGCTTCCAAAGATCCTCGAAATCTACGGTGCAATCGACGTTGGTCCGGGTTCCATGGGCACTTTCTGGCCCGCGTCGCTTCTCTCGCTAATCTTGTCCGCCACATTGCTTGTCTTCGCGCGCATCTCCGACATGTACGGAGGCTATCTACCATTCATGTTTGGCGTTGTCTGGCTGGGCATTTGGTCTATCATTGCCGGCTTTGCATCGTCCTTCACCGACGGATCTGGCATCACAATCCTCGACGTCGCTAGAGCTATGCAAGGACTCGCGATCGCGGCATTCATCCCAAGCACTTTCTCGATGATCGGAAGTATCTATACTGAAGGACCACGAAAGAACCTTGTGCTCGGTCTGTACGCAGGATGTGCGCCGCTAGGCTTCTTCGCCGGATTTCTGGTCGCCGGTGCGTTGCCAGACAGTGCTCCAGGCTGGTACTTCTGGATCGCTGCGATCCTGGCTTTCATCACAGCAATGACAGCATACTTGACCGTGCCTCATGATCGAACGAATCGCGAGATGCTAGGCTTGAAGATGGATTGGCTGGGCAGCTTCCTGATAACCGGCGGTCTCATCTTGGTGGCATATGCGCTTGCCGTAGAGCCATATGCCAACCAATTCGACCGCGAGAGATCCGGATGGACGTTCCCAATGGTCCTAGGTCCGCTAATTTCAGGCCTTGGGTGTCTCTGCGCCGCATTTTGGGTCGAAGGCTGGTTGGCCACCTGTCCATTATTGCCGTTCGACTTCTTCCGGCCCAAGAGCGTCAAGGCCTTCTCTCTCGCCTGCCTCTGCTTCTATGCTTCGTACGGTGTCTGGCTGTACGAATCGGCAAGCTTCTTTAGCAGCGATGCCGCGACCGGGATCGAAGGCGGCATCCGAGGCGTCACTCTTGCAGCATGGTATACGCCAACAGCGGTCGGAGGTCTGATCCTTTGTATCGTTGGTGGCTCGATGATTCATATCGTGCCAGTCATGATGCTCCTTCTCATTTCAGGGCTGGCGTGGATCGGAGCACCACTGCTCTTGGCACTCTGCCCGCTCCCAATGAACTACTGGGCTTTCGTCATGCCATCCATGCTCTGCGCGACAATCGGCATCGACTTGACGTTCACAGTATCCACGATCTTCCTTTCGGCCGTCTCACCACTTCGTCACCAAGGGCTCGCTGGCGCCGTCTCTTCGATTCTGGTCAATCTGGCCATGTCATTCTCGCTTTCCATCTCCGAGATCGTGGCGCTAAAAGCGGAGAGCACAATTGCTCTCCCGCGCAATGCTTCGGATGCAGTGGCGAAAGGCACGGATTCCAAAAGGGAGATTTGGGGCTACCAAGCCGCCTTCATCTATGCTGCTGCCTCGGCCGGGCTGGGACTTATCGTTTGCATTTTATTTGTAAGGATATCGAGGAAAGTGGTGAAGGGTGAGAAGGATTCTTCCGCCATGATTGATGTGGAGAGGCCGAGGGCTACGAGCAGTGAGGTTAGCACGCTGGTTGAGGTAGCTCGTGCGTAAGATGATGACTGAGCGACTGGGCTTGCTTTTCGGATTGGCGTTGTCGCAAGATGGGAAATGCTTCACAGCACTGTCTGTACATATACAAAACGGGCGAGACGGCCGAGCGGGAGCAGAAAGGTTGTGGTATAGGAGTTGGCAGTTGGCGATCGGACGTGGCCGTCTGGTTGATGTCCTGCAAAGCTTTGCCGTTTTCGTGCCGCACAGTCATCAAGGCCCATTATTATTGGAAGGCGCAAGGAGCGCTGTGGAGGCAGGCTCGTGCGTTGACCTTATCACAACCTCACCTCATGTTTTTGACGCTTCCGTGACCGCGGCTGTATGTGCGATGTCGTCATGGATGCGAAGGCTTGGCAGTGGGCAAGCAGCGGCAGGCTCAAGACGTGCGTGAAGCAAAGCAGCAATGGATGATGCAGCACGGACATCAGACATGACAGGTGTCAGAGCAATATCGATGCGATGCGATGCGATGCGACGCGATGCCTTCGACAATGCGTGCTGTGCTGTGCCACACGCCACGCGAGCCTTTGACGCGAGTGTGAGCGTACAAGTAACAGTAACATTACAGGTATGCTGGATGCTGGATGCTGGATGCTGGATGCTGGATGCTGGATGCTGGATGCTGGATGCTGGATGCTGGATGCTGGATGCTGCACACATGGAAGCAGGTCTGAGTTACTGCGCAATTTTCGTTGGGATTCCGCATGCATGCGAAGCACATGGCTCACGTGCCGTGATGCTCCACTGAAAGCGCGAATTTCTGGCCATTTACATAGTCATTATTATGGATGATGAGTTGAGATGATAGCGCAGCATTTTCACGGACAACCTCTGTAGAAGCCCCGACGGCTGCTTGCAATGTTAATCATAACCCTTATGGCTTATGCTATGATACTGCTGATGGCGAGAAAATATGTATGTATGGACGGTGGGTGGCCCGTGCGACAAAAGTCCTGAAAATCCTTTCACTTTCCGGAAGGAGGATGCTGGATGCTGTCACATCCGAGCTCGGCTTCACATGCGCAAGGCAGCCGTACAGCCGTGCGTGTCCGCGTTACTTGCAGCTTCGAATCCTTTGCTCGTCTTGTCCAATTGAACCTCCACTCCCTTCCCTTTGCCTCCCGTCTCCTCTCATACCCGCCTACGCCCACGCCCACGCCCAAATCACGCCCCGCCCCGCCCCGCCCGCTTCTCTCCCAACATTGTCAATAGTGTGGGTGGCTATGATAATGGCATCTCGGTAACGGAGTGCACACAGGAGCCAAGCACTACCCACTACCCACTCTTCTGTGCCGCCGCCTCTCTTCAACACGGCCGGCCGTAGCAACTCGACTTCAACTCGAGACACGGAGAGACTTGCACACATGAGCGAACCGAATGCGCCAGCTGGCACTGGCACTGGCACTGGCACTGGCACTGGCGATAGCAATGGTATTGACCCCAGTGGCCTCCGCGAGCGCATCTCGCAAAGACCCGCGGAGCCACAGCAGGCAGGCTCGTCAGACACTGCTTCGGCTGCGGTCCGAGCATTGAACGATCAACACGCGAAAGAAAACAAGAAAGAGGAAGACAAGCGCACATATGGGCGAACTCCAGATGGCACGGGTAAGTACTCCCAGCCTCAGCCTGAACACGGCGGGCCAGGAACGGGCATGTGTTGAAGCGACACGTAGGCTGCCGCGGGCTGCCCCAAGAAGCACAGCTCCCAGCGGCCATGGTCATGTCTCGCATCTCCTCTCTCAAACACTGCTGATGTACCACTCCCTAGTCTTCACTGTGCCTCACACAGACGATATGGTCTCGCAGCTATTCGATCCCACGCAGCCAAAGAATGCATCAGACATTGCCATTGTCCTTGCCCTTGCATGCCACTTCTTCCTCATGTGGATTCTCCCCACATCACTACGAGTTCCCGTCTTTGCCATTGTCTTCCTCTTTTGGCGAACGTGTTACAACTTCGGCATTGGCTGGCTTCTGCACAACCAGTCTCACCATAAGCGCCTCGTAGTCTGGGCCAAGAAGACCGGCATTTTCGAGCATCCCAAAAGCGGCAAAAATCCCCATCCGACGCTGTACAAGTTCCTCAAGCACGAAATGGAAGCCAAGATTCCCAGAGACTATAAATTTGACGACGCCCCCATTGAATACAACACGTGGCTCCTGTTCCGACGCCTTGTAGATCTGATCCTCATGTCTGACTTCACTGCGTACTGTCTCTTTGCCTACGCGTGTGGCGGACGTCCAGAGAACGAGGCGTTTGCCATGACATTGGCCAGATGGCTTGGTGGATGGCTCCTTGTCTTCTTCAATCTATGGGTCAAGCTCGACGCCCACAGAGTTGTCAAAGACTTCGCTTGGTACTGGGGTGACTTCTTCTATCTCATTGACCAGGATTTGACCTTCGATGGTGTCTTTGAGCTCGCTCCTCATCCCATGTATTCCATTGGATACGTCGGATACTACGGCATTGCCATGATGGCGGCCAGCTACAAAGTTCTCTTCATCTCCATCCTTGCGCACGCAGCGCAGCTCATCTTCCTTGCCTTTGTCGAGAATCCTCATATCGTAAGTCTGCACACCCACATTCGGTCGAGGTGGAATACGCTGACCATCTCCGACTGTCAGGAGCGCACCTACAACGCGCCCCCACCACCCAAGCGCTCCGAAGGAGTCCCTGATTCACCACCGAAACGACCTCAATACTCGACCCGACTGCTGAGTGCCGGTCATGTCAACGGCATGCCTCCGCTGGCGTCGGCCACTTCGCCGTCACCTGTTCATAACTTGATAGGCTTGCAGAATATGGACCTGCATCGCGTAACAGACGTTTCGGTCATTCTTCTGCAGCTCTACATGTGCAGCGTTGCACTCCTCACGCCATCAACATGGCTTTGGCAAACCTTCTTCGTCCTGAGTGCGACCTTGTGGCGCCTGTGGTACTCCATCGGAATCGGCTTCATCCTAGATCGGCAATCCAACAAGAAGTGGTGGACACGCCACTTTGTGAAGTACGGCGAAAGCACAGAAGAGGCTTGGCGACAATGGAAAGGCATCTATCACATCAGCATGTCCATGTGTTTCACGAGCTTCATCTGCGCCGCCTGGAAGATGTATAGTAAGTGAGAATAGCTTCCATGGAGTGTGCATCTCGCGACTGACCCGCATCCGACAGGTCTCCCAGAAAACTGGTCATACGGCATGGCGCTCTTGCGGCACGTCCTTGGTTTTGCCATGATTGCACTGCAGATCTGGACAATCGCGAGCATCTATGAGTCGCTTGGCGAATTTGGCTGGTTCTTCGGCGACTTCTTCTTCCAGGATCAAGCTCCGAAACTCACCTATGGCGGCATATATCGATTCTTGAACAACCCCGAGCGCACCATTGGTCTAGCGGGCGTCTGGGGAGCTGCCATCATGACTTGGAGCAAATCCATCTTCTTCTTGGCATTGTTGTCGCACACGCTTACGCTGTCCTTCATCCAGTTTGTGGAGAAACCGCACATGCAAAAGCTATACAGACAGGGATTGCGGCAAGACTCGGGCGTTTCCAAGACCTTAAACCGCTCGCTGCCAAAACCTCTCAGGAAATGGCAAGGCAGCATGAACAAGGCTATCGATGAGACACTTGACTCACTTGAGGACTTTCTCGATCAAGCCGGCCCGAAGCTGGCGGCTGGGTTCAACTCCTTCGCACAAGACTCCAGCACTATGTTCAAGCACTTTCCAGCAAGGCTTACCGTCACTCGACTGGCGCCAGACCTCGCAGGTTACGATCCAAAGGACTACTCTGTCGAAATCGATACCAGTAACCCTGCTGTCAACAAGGCCGATCCTGCGAACAGTGGCCGAGAAAGTGAAGTCGGACAGCAGCCACTCAAGCGCACTGACAGCTTTGAGCGTCTCGTCGTGGACTATGGTGCACCTATTAAGATCAAGTGGACAGCTCCTCTGAACCACAGCAAGAAGGACTGGATTGGTCTCTATCGTGTCGGCGACAATGCCTCCCGTGAAGTCACCAAAGTCGGGTCTCAGGGCAGATGGATAGCCACAAACCCGGGCGCGTATGATTATGCCAGTGCCAGCAGAGGCATCCTAGTCGCCGATCAGAAAGTTTCTGGTGTGCAGCGCAGAGATGGCGTGAACAAGGACTTCTTGAGTGGAGAGCTCGAGTTCTCAGGCGACAAACTCTGGTGGACACAAGGCGTCTTCGAATTCCGCTACCACCACGATGGCAAATACAACGTCATGGCCATCTCTCTACCTTTTGAGATTAAGATCAACCGCTTCGACGAGGACGACATCCAGTACGATCAATCAAGCAGCATTGTTCGCGACGCAGTCGAATCGGCCCTTCTTCCCGTGGTCCAGAATTGTTTCGATCGCGATTCCGACGTGGCACCGCGCAGCGTCGATGATGCCTTTGGCTCAACATTGGAGAGGCAAGGCAAGTATGCTAAGCGCGTCGTCTATGCCGTCCAGCAAATGTTTGGAATCGAATTTGCACCAGAAGTCGTCCAAGCGGACGGAAATGTCAGGAACCTGGCATGGAGGATATGCAATGCCAAGAAAGTCCTTGCGCCATACAGTATGAAGATCGGCACAGTATCGCCGCAATAGAGTGTTATGATATGCTGATTGATCCAGGCTGTCCAACACAGTCATTGATACCAGAGACTGTTGCGCTGTAGATGAGTACCATCGTACAAACAGCGCCTTGCTTACTTGGAGCTTGGGAAGATACCACCATCAGAAGCGGGTGTATGGGAGTAGGATGATACCAGAAGAAAAGTTTGGTTTGTATATACTAGTCACCAGATCCTATGAAAGACATGGAAAATTCTATAATACTGTGTCCGTTCTCATTTACGAGCCCGCCAGTGTAACAAAAGTCGCGTCTCGAGGCTCGAAATCCATTTCCCTCTTGGCTGGCTCTGGATTTGCCGTCCTGAATCTAGCTGCCACGCATCGACCAAGCCTTCAGTGTTCATTATGGCATCCTTCGCTCCATTCTTCAGATCGACTTCGAGTCTGGAGTGGCTTCTCAGCCGCAACATCGACCGTCTCGCACGTTCGAGCAATATACTCTCGCAAAATGACACCAAACGTCCATGGACGAGCACGAGTTTGATTCAGTTCTGCAATCACAGCTGTGAATCAACTTCGCCTCTGTCAACAAAACGATCGATCCTCTCGTACAAGAATTATCTTCGAAGACTAGCCAGTCTTCTTCGATGCCCTGTCCAGTAGCCGCTCAGGCATCCTTCGCTCTGCAATTCTAGCTAATCGATGATCTTGGGTTGTTGCGTGATGGATCACTACTTAAGACCAACGGCGGCCAAGTACTCATCGATATACAAAAACATAACACCTATCCTCAGTTGCTTAAGGATGCTTGAAGTGAGAGAATATGGTACTACAAGTTTGCGAGAGCCAATGATCGGACAAGAATGAATATTATACCACGAGACTTTCACCTCATCTGGACAAGCCACTGGTTTAAAACGTTGAAACGTCCATCATGAATTCTATGCCTCCACTAAGACATCGACACAAATTTCTTCATCTCCCATCGTTGTGACAGTTATGATTGATGCTCATCTACATCTAGCAATTGGCCCTGTAACCGTTGGGGTTGGCGGTTGGTGCATAACTCCTTCCAGTGTACTTCTGGAAGACACTGTTGTCGTATTTGCTGAGTGCTGGGCAGCCAAGCTGCGTGGACAATGGTGTCAGGTACTTGAGAACCAATGCAGTGGCTGTAGCCACATCGTTCACGCCGCCCTGCAGTTGAAGTGGGATCGCTTGCTGCTCTGTCTGTAGGAAGAAGCAGCCGAAGTTGTTACCCTGGAAGAGAGTTTGAGCGTTGTATGCACCGCCAGTCAAGTTGGCAATGTCGACACCAGTGTAAGTCTGGATAAAGTCAGCTTGGCTCGATAGCGTTAACGGAATTGCGATCCTTTACTTACGTTGACGCCATTGGTGTTACCTCCAAAGCGGAAGGTATCTGGGTAAGCCGCGAACTCTGGAATCAAATCTCCGAAGACATCGACTGCGTTGTACGGGACTGCTACTGGGCGCTTGTACCAGTTCTGTGAAAGCATATAAGGACGTTTTCCAGACCTGAACTGCATTTGTACTTACGTCTGGGATGCGCTCTTGGCCCTTGTTCCACACAAAGTTCGGATAGTTGCCTGAAATACCGAAGAATGTTTTGAACTGATTGTGGCACATTAGTAAACGGTCCGGGAAATATTGATGATGACTCTTCTCACCTGTGCTCCATCGAGATATCCAGCAGGGGAAGCAGAAGAGTGGTTGCTCATGAAGTTGACCACGAAATTGTAAGCCGCAGGTGAAACCAAGGTAGTGGAGAAGAGAGGAGCAAAGTAGTATGGATTGGTCGAGATGGATCGGATTGTATTCTTGGCGTACAGCCTGGACATGGTGTCCAAGGTGTAGAGGATGTTCTTTGGATTGCCAGTCGGCGAGCCATTTCCTGATGCATAGGCAGTAGCGAAACGAGTGGTACTGAGGGAGTGGGCGTCTCCGCCGTTGATATAGGCATCACATCGGCCGATTGATGTGTCGCCCTCGTAGTTGTTGTGAGAGTAGCTGATGCCTGTTGGCTTGCCAAGCGTGCCGCTGAGCAAATTTGCGGGTAATGGACCTCCGATCGACCACTGCTGGGTCACGACATCGCCATCAACGGCGATAGCATAGGCAGCAAGGAATCCTGCCAAGTCAACGGACATGCCGTACAAATCGCCAAGACCTGTAATCGTGTTCTGTAGAGTACTGAGCCCGTTTCGATTCAAATAACCTTCAAGGGTCAGCTAGTGCCTCGACCTTATCTTTCTGGGGATGGCTCACCATGGTTGGCAGCAGCATTCAGGCCTTGTTTGCGTTAGATGATGCTGTCAATTTATATGAGTTTCCACTGTGTCATACCTGGGCAAGGGCCTCGAATGTCATTGGGGCCCGGAGACTGGTATGCATTCTACACAGCGTCAGCGAAATCCAACATCTCTGTGCCTTTTCAACACGGACCTGTCCAGTGGTAGAAACTCTTTGCGTGGCGGCATCGAAGGTCGTGCACTGACCCTTATGGAGAAAACCGCAGTTGTCGCGAGACTTGCTAGCGCGGGTGGCAGCGTTGTCCGTGGCTGGGATTCCAGCTTGTGCGTCTGATACGGCGATGTATCTGTTGCACAGAGCACTGGTGCTGCAGCCTGCTTGTGCGAAGTCGCGCTTCTGAATCGGGGCATCCAGGGCATCAAGGACAAAGGGGAAGGCGTTCACAGCCGTGAAGGCGCAAGTGAGGAGCGCGACGGCCTTCATCATCATGACGGCTCTCGCTGGTAAGTTGTGACTACTAGGGATGGCACAGCTCCAGCGGCACGACTGAAGCCTTCCTTATAACCCATCGTCATGATGGCCTGCTGACGGGCTAGTTGCCTTTCACGTCGTGAGCCGGGAGCCGCAAAAACAAATCGTGATGCCGCAAGCGCGCTGGCCAGGGAGATCGTTAGCGAGGAGGCAAATCTGCAGCGATTCGAAGGACACGACACACGCCAGCCGTCTGGTGACTGCTGTTGCTTTGGGGCAGTCAAGCCTCGGAACGTGCAGTGCTAGGGCGGAGCCAATTGGAGCCCGTCCGCATGTGCTTATGCTTCAGTGGGTGATGAAGCAGAGCTTTGCAGCTGCTTAAGCTTGCATAGGGCCAGAGCCACAGCGTCAGCGCCTATAAGGATGACCGGGAAAGTCCTGTCCTGGTAAGGCACAGGCATGGTGGCGCTCTTGACGGTCGTTTGCGGTGCCTGGATTACTACAATGAGGGTCAGTAGCGGGAGGCGCACGCGGGGTGCAGTAAGGCTAGTCAGTCCGTCTAGGCCGTAGCAGGCTGTTGCCATCTGGGCATTATTGATCAATTTGCGAAGCGAAGAGTGAGATCGCCATTGTTGTTGTGGTCCGAGCGAATATGGGAGAGAACGGCGTTTTTGACTTGCTGGAGTATCGGCAGCACAGGCGATACAGGACCACGTCGGGCAGTCAATACGGCGATGCAAGCGTACACGCGGATCCGCGTTGTCGGAATCATTGCGATCGATTCCAGATAGATGCTTCCCATCGTTGTCGGCTATCGTCCACAAGCCTTGTGTTGTCGATCATTCCAATTTGGCTTTTGCCGCATTTGCCATTCTTGGGCCCTCAGCAGTGGCGTCAGCCCTGCAAACGCCAAACAAATCAACGGCTGTCGTCAAAACAAGCCTCCCAGACAGTAGCTTGAAACGAGTAACGCTATTATTCGGCGGTTTTTGCATGGCTTCGTAATGTGCAAGTTGGTGGCCCTTCCTTGCTCTCGCCGTCATGCAAAGCGCCTGACTCTGGCGAAGATGACACGAGCAGCGACGACATCGTCCGGCTGGTGCAGACAAAAAAGAAGTTTCGAACAGACGCCATGAGCCTAGTATGGCTTGGCTATTCGTTGTCAGCTCATCAAACGTGGGCGCCTTAGTATCGCCAAACAGGTTTCAGCGCTTGGCGATAGGGATAGAACTACTCGAATGGAGCCATCTCGTCGTGCTTGTTCCATAATTTGGATAGCCTAGTACCTTACTTTGTACCAGATCAGAGATATAATATTCCAGCGGCATAACTGAGTCGGCTCGAGCAAGAGATAGCGATAGTAAGTAGGTCTATGTAGCGAAGATTTATCTACCGGGAACGAGTCGGAAGAAGGATCAAGCAAGATTCGTGCGAGTTCGCCCTGGAACAAAGCGGTCACTACATACATGCCATCTTTGCGATTTTGATTCAGGTGGAGCGGCTTGGATGTGGACGATGGATCGCAGGTGTGTGCAAGCAGCCCGGGCGGAGTGTAGTCCAGCTCGCGCCTATCACTAGCATCAGTAGCGATCGTTGCATTCCGTGCCAAGGGCATAGGCGTGGGCCATTGCGGCGTTGTATGAGCAGATGCTGGAAAAGCATCCCCTATGTCTTCGTAACGACGGCGATGGACGTGAGGCGACGAGGATTGCGCTGACGGTGCTGGCGGTGGCAGCGCCATGGAGCGAGCGTCCGCCATGGTGGGCATGTGTGATACGCTCATGCGGCGAGGTGGCAGGTTGTGGGGAGAAATGCTTGCTTCGTCGTGGGCGCGTGGATGGCGTCAAAGAGGCTGTCTTTCGTGTCTACTTCGTGCTTCTTCTTGCGACAAACGGCGCGCATGCAGGTATCCGTCGACCTTGCGGCCTGGCCTGGCCTGGCCTGGCACCCAAGCGTCCTATGCGACATATTGGCGTACTGACGATGAGCAGCGGATGGCGTCCATCGCATCAAGACACTGGTGCTTCTCGCCAGTACCGTACCAGAGTGGCTCGAGGCCTGGGAGTTCTACAAACACGCCGTGTTCCACTGGAATATCGTCCGCCGCTACCATCCAAAGGGCGAAGGCATCGCTATCGATGATACGATAACGCAGCTGTGGACCGACATTGCAAAGCTGAAAGACGCCCTGCGCGCAGAAGCCGAAGAAGAAGAAGGAGGAGAAGAGGAAGAAGAAGAAGAAGGTAGCCTTGGCGACTTTGACCTTCTTAATGACGACCAGGTGGAAGAGGAGCTTGCAGCGCAGACCGCGGCCGAGAAGAAGCAGGCTGAATGGGACGCGGCACTCGATGAAGCAGACAGACTTGCCTTGGGCGGCTAAGGTATGTATCACGCACCCCCCCCCCCCCCCCCCCCCCTCTCCATCTACGCCGCATTTTTGCCTGACTCTCTCCCTTTTTCTAGATGAACAACCGCCCTGAAAAGGCCCGTATGCCTAAGCACATGGAGCGTATTGCTCTACGTCCCGCGACCGGCATCACTAGCACCGACCTGTCCACTGGCCACCAGCCCGAGTTCTCTGCCGAAACCCGCAAGATGCAAGCAGACTCGAAAGCGTATGGCTTTGATGGTAACAAGCCTTACAAGCCACCGATTATCAAGAAGAAAATTGACTCTGCTCAAGAGCCGGACACAGCTGGTCCAGTCAATGCTTCGGAGTTCCTGATTCCCGGAGGACACGAAGCACTGCCTAGAAGGGCAAGATCGATTCGCTCTAAGCCGCAGTCAATGAAACTGCCTAAGAACCGCATTTCGCCATGCGGCCGGACCATCTCGGTCATGAACGTCTCCAGACCACGACCAGTCGCCTTGACGCAGCTTCAAAGTCTGGATCTTGGCACTATGATATGTATATCGGAAATTGGACAGCCATGACATGCCCTCTCCTTCCTACAGTGGACTGCCCAACGCCACTTCTAGGACCGACTATGCAGCATATGCATATACCGCTGCTCGCGGTTGCGAGCGGAATTTTGTGCCTTTGACGCCGACACTCTATCAGTCGATTCTCCAAGTCCAGGTATGACATTGACGAAGAGCCTCTTGCGGCGAACCACGAGAAAGATTATGATGAGCAGGAAACATCCGCTGACCACGCCTAAAGCGATACCGATGGATTTTCCAGTATGCGAAAACTGAGCTGCATTTGCGAAGCCACACGACCAGAGAAGCATGAGACCCAGAGTCGTCCAGAGCATGGTAGTGGTCGTTGTCGCGACTGCGTCTGGAAAATGGCGTTGATATGTTGGCCGCGCGTGCACGAAGGCTCAGCTGCGTTGTAGCCGAGGATAAGGGAGGTTCAGTTCAAGCCAGCTAACGAGCGTGGCCTATTTGTGCGCAAGGTTGGGCGCGCACTTCATGTTGTGTCACGTCGTATTCGCAACCTCGAGTGCACGTCGCCAATTTTGAGAGCTTAGCCGCAGGTATCTAGAATACATGTAGCGAATCCTTCCAAAACCATTCCGCTTCTACATTTGCTGACGAGGATGAGTCGGTATGATTGCACATATCGCCATCTTGAGAATTGTGTCACATCTCGCTCGGGGGCCGGCGATTCACAGATGCCAAAAAGAACAGTCTCCCAAGCAGTTCTGCGCGCGAGCCCAGGATTGCTGTCGGCGGTATGCATTGCACCAGCCTGCCAAAACATTGCTGACGCGATCAATATCACATTCGTGCCATTCCAGTTCGGACACTGCCTCGGCGCTGCAAGGATTCGATTCGGGAGGATGTCACTCGCCTCGCATGAAGATTTCTTGTCCAGGGGGAATCTCTACGTGGCAGGTGGTCCTGCCTAAGAAATGGACCACATATTTCCAAACTTGGCCTGTACAAATTTTCACATTCAATCTTATGCGGTACCTTGCGCCGAATCGAACTGCCTCCGAATACTTGTGAAAACCTCCTGTTCTTGCTATATTTGTAGATCTGCCCATGCTGTTCAACCTCCGCCAGAAGTCTACTATGTGTAATGAACTCTGCTGGGGCATCCACCAGGACCTCTTTGGCCTTGTGTACCATGCTAGATGTGATCGATGCTACTCGACGCTCCGGAATGGTAGATCCCACAACGCGAGCTCAGAAGCGTTCGAAGGGTACGGAATTCGTCGCCGTCTTCGTCGGGCTCGATCCTCCGTAAGCCAGAGTTGCTCGATTTCCAGGAGATAGGCAGGCTTATGCGATAGGCGATTCGATCATATCCATGACACCTCTGAATCGATGTTGCTTGAATGACGAGGGCCTGGCATGGCACGCGAGACCGCGAAAGAGCTGTCACTGGCCTGGGGATTCTGCAGAGCAGCGTACCGAAGGGGGCACAAAATTTCAGGACAAACCTTGGCTCCGCAGAGGTTTAATTTGACGCACATGATGTTCAGGGCATCGTTATTATTGCGAGAGATCACAGAGATACCACTCTGCACCCCGCACCCCATACCCCTCCTCTGAGACTGCTCTCCTTTGCAGCGTTGGGACCCCTTCAAGGGGAAAAGAAAGCAAAAGCTTGATCGATTTATTGTTCAAACTTCAAAGCACTGCTCCCGCTCCCGCTCCCGCTCCCGCTCCCGCTCCCGATATCAACCCGTCCCGTCCCGTTCCGTCATTCATCATGTCCACATGCATATGCCGGCAGCAGTTCTCGTGTCCGTAGTAGTCAGTGTCAGGCGATGGCCTCAGTAGTACACGGGCTCTTCGGCTTGGGAGGAGTCGACCCCGGGCTATGCGAGCCATACGCCTGCTGGCGCGCTGTAGTACCAGACTCGTTGCCAAATGCAATGCCCAGCGCTTGCGGTGTGCCATGCTCGCCCTCTTCTGTACGATCGGGTTTGGTGATCCAGTGGAGCACACTGCAGCCGATCAGGGCGTCAACCTTGCACGTCAGGCAACACAACCATGCCGGTTCTCCATCGAACATCGTCAGCGACACCTTCACCGTCAGCACTGACACCATGGCTATAGCCGTGCCAATGCATGTCCGCGTGACAAGTCTCTTCAGAGGCAGAAGCAATCCCTCAGAACCGAAATGTAACATCAGCAGCGGCACGAGGAACCGCAAAGTGAGATATAACTTCGTCCTGGTCAGTGTAGCTGCGACATTGATGCCAGTAAGAGAACGTACATATGCCAAGACTTCTACCAATGTCAAGGCCAAGAGCGCGAACATTTTCAGTCCAATGATGCACACTTGCCCTTCTGTTCTGTAGGCCAGCCGGCTGTCGACACGGTCAGCGATGGATAGACGTACGTAGGATGCACCAGATGCTTACTTCTTCATGGCAATGCCGGCCACGACGGCGTAAGGGACGATAATGGAAACCGAGCTCAAGACATATTCTGGTGTCTTACACCGAGGACTCGTCGGCCAAGAAATGATGTATGCACGCTCGATCAGGAAGAGGAAGCCTGCTGACTTGCACAGGACATATAACGTCAGACCTGATTGGTTGTCAGAAGGGACAGCGACGGCACTACAGCAGAATCTGTTGCTTACAAGTGATGATGGTTGCATCGCAGAGTCCAAGACTGTTATCTGCTCGAATGTGTATGACGACAGTCAAGATAAATATGAACAGGAACGAAGTGATGTAAGTCTGCATTGCCGTTAGTACCAATGTCCTGACACCGTTCCCATCATTCACTCACGAGAAGCAAAGTCACCGAGGCAATCGTCGTGCCTCGTTTCTTTGAACTTCGCAGTCGGTCGAAGAAGAAGACTGCTATGATCGGCAATGAGAGTAGTGCCACTACTAGCGAGCTTATCTCGCCAGGGAGCTGAAACTTCTGCTTGACAGGATTGCTGTCGCTCACGATGGCTCTTGTAAGGACGACCATCGTATTATTATTAGTCGGATAGGCTGTTGGGGACTAAGGACGTCGATGGCGTTGTTCTACTCATGAACGCAGAGAGATTATTCAATAGAAGCTAGCTGCATCTATCTGTTCGTTACAACCATAATCTGTGTAGTACCGGAGTACAAGCTGTCGTAGCCTTGTAGGTTCAAGGTCGGATAGTACATACTCACGCATTCGGTACTCAATCACACCTCTGCCGGCATCTAACCGTACGAAGCTATCCCTTTCTAGTTGCAATTTTTCACGCCTAGTTCTAGATCTTACTAGCTTTAGGGTATTTTGCTTAGATATTTTGCTTGTATAGTAACGCGCCTCGACTAGACACTAGTCTATTTACAGGGCGACGGATATAGTAAAAAGAGCCCTCGCGACTAAACCGAGCCCTAGCTACCCGCCTGAGCCCTAGTATAACCCGAGATTACGAGATCGGCTGTTCCTAACAAAATCGCGTATAGAAGCGGATAATCGCGTCGCTATATACCCCGCTAGCTAGGCAACTACTATAACAATACTGCTACTAGCAGCTATAAAGCTATAAAGCTAAAGTTTATTAGCAAATTAGTAGTATAGCAAAATTAAAGGTATTATTAGTTGTTAGCTATCTACTTAGGTCTAAGCGGCTTACGACCTATAGCCTTATAACTACGCGAGGCTATATATACTAGCTTATACTAGTCTCTTAGTTGCTAACTAGTATACTACTATTACTAAGTAGACTAATAGTGCTATTACTAACTAGTATACTACTATTACTAAGTAAACTAAAAGTGCTAAGTAAACTAATAGTGCTATTACTATAGCACCTAGTAATAAAGCGGCCTTCCTACTAGCGGCCTTCCTACTAGCTATATAAGCGACTACTAGTACTATTGCTAAGTAGCCTATTGTTATTATTGCTTATATAATACCGCCTACTGTCTCGTACGTTATTCTTCTACCTATAATCGAGCGTTCTTACGTACTCGGAGGTCTTTAATCTCTCGGCGGAGTAAATCTAGCTTAGAAGGAGGTTCTAGTACTAGTACTATTAGAAGTAAAGACTCGACTCGTAGATTATAGCACTCGAAGCCGCTTAGATAGCAAGCAGAGCTATACGCACGATTAGCCTTCTAATAAGGGCATTATTAAGTACGTAATTAGCTCTTAACGCACTTATAGTGCTTAATAGTCGTCCTTAGCTAAGTAAGTAAGACGCTAGGCTCGAGTATAAACTTAGTCGTTCTAGCTATTGCTATCTTCTATCGCTTAGCAACTGCTATCTTATTTAAGTCGTCTAATTCTCGAGCTATTACTATACGCTTTATACTATATAGTATCGCTCCGCTAGTAAGAGGTTTATAGTTGCTAAAGATTACTTCTAGCTCTCGTAGAGTAAACGTTCTACGGAAGTTAATTAACTAGTACTAGTAGAAGTGGCTCGGTAATAGTATAGCGCGGCTACCGCCTATCTCGAGAATAGACCCCGTAGTAGTTCGGTTTGGTTTAGTTTAGTTTGCTAAGCCGAAGATCTAGTTTGGTTTAGGTTGGTTTGCTAAGCAACTACAAGAGTAGCTAGTTCGAACTATAGAATTTATCGGTTTCTAAGAAGTGTAATAATGTCTACGTAACTCGAAGCAAGCCCTTTATAAGATACGAGAGTGTGGCCGGTAGCGTAGCCGGCGTTTTTTAGTTATAGGAAGGTACTTATATAACCCTAAATCTATAGGCAATTAGCTAAAGGCACTAACTAATTAAAAGCACACATATAGACAAGCTATTATAGTTCAGTTCAGAAACTGCACTTATTAGAAGTGTAAGAATATCTACGTAACTCGAAGCAAGCCCTTTATAAGATACGAGAGTATAGCCGGTAGCGTAGCCGGCATTTTTCAGTTATAGGAAGGTACTTATATAACCCTAAATCTATAGACAATTAGCTAAGGGCACTAACTAATCAAAAGCATATATATATACAAGCTATTATAGTTTAGTTTAGAAACTGCACTTATTAGGTATAAATTTTATCCTTTCGCTCGCTATTCAATTCCCTAACTACTCGGTAGAATGTTATTATCTAGATCTAGGTAGAACTTATCGATTTCCCTAGAAGTCCTCCTCCTTAAGAAGTTCTAACACTTTCCTACCGAACTATTCGACAATATTAAGTACTAGGATAGCTCCTCCCTCGGTATCGGCATAGTATATAAAAGAGCTATAAGGCAGCTCTATAGAACGTTCTACTAGTTACTCGCTATACTAAGGCCGAATGCTAGTTCGTTCCTTAGAACTCTTAGTTATTTAGGAGATATAAAGGGTAGGGCAGGTAGTAACTTCGTATTATATAAGGAGGTAGAGGCTACTATAGAAGAGGCCTTCAACCTATAGAAGATAGTAAAAGATATAGAGGCAGCTATAGGTCTAGGTACCTAGTTGAATTTCTAGTAGGTAGAGTATAAGGATATTTAGAGGGAGTATTAGGTAGAGTTGCGAAGGCAGGTGTATAATATGCTCTAGAAAACAGGGATAGTGCCTATAACTATAACTATTAGGCTCTTCAATCTTCCTTATTTTTCCCTGTTTTCTTTTTATAAAAATCTAAACTAATACAAATCAACCGGAATGTCTATCTTCTTTTAGTTCTTTAAAAAACCTAGTAGCGTAGCTAGCAGCGTAGCCGGCCTTTTTACTCCTTAGTACTAACGGGATTTTAGGAGACTTCTATTCCGTACGGCTAATAAAGTATACTATACTATATATATATGCTTAGAGAGTATTTAGAGCGCGGTATATAGCGCCGTATAATAGCGGCTTATTTCGTATATAGAAAAGCTTATAAATAATACTACGAACATCCTTCCTACTAGAATATCTATCCTACCTAGCACCGTCTCGAATATAGACATTCTAGCCTTTTAGAATCTAATCGAGTGCTTTGAAATCCTTGTCTATAATCGTTATATGCTTCGCGTAGATAGCTATAAGGTTAACCGCTAAAATAGTATTAGTATAGTCCGAAAAGAGGTAGAAGAGAAATATACATTCGAAGATACGAACTAGGTAGGCTTCTATAGCCTCTTAAAGGGCGCCTATCGCGGAGGCTTAGAAGCGAAGGTCCGTTCTATAATCCTAGGCAATTTCGCGAATAAGTCGTTAGAAAGGAGCTTTACGGATTAGGAGCTTAGAACTCTTCTAATACTGCCGAATCTAACGGAGGGCTACGGCTAAAGAAGGATTAGTAAAAAGACAGTAAGAATGCCGGCTACGCTACCGGCTACGCTGCCGGCTACGCTACCGGCTATAAATAGGACTTACTTCCTAGGCGCTATCGACGCTTCGTACGATTGCTACTAGTAGTAGAAGCGCTAGTTGTCGTCTTACGTAGAGCCTTGCCCGCCGTTGTCTTACGTAGAGCCTTACTCGCGACGCCCTTTCTAGTACCGGAGCTAGCGGTAGTAGTAGCAGCCCTCTTACGTTAATATACTATACTTGTTCTACTATTTCCGGTCTTATTACGACCCGCAGAAGTACTAGGTCCCTTCTTACGAGGCGTCGTAACTTAGTTAAGTAGACTCGCTATTATAAAAGTCGTCGAATTAAGGAAAAAAGTGCGTTACGAAGGTATACGAAAGCGCGCGCGGAGCGAGGGTATTACGGAGGTAGTAGATATAGAGCGTAGAGGTATAGGTATCGATGCGAAGGTTAAATATAGCGGTAGTATCGCGGTATCGCTAGGCAATAGAGTAAGCTTCGCGTAAGCCTATATTATAGTAACGTTAGAGTAAGGAAAGAAGGTAGGCACGGCTAAAAAAGGTAGGTACGGCTAAAAAAGGCAGGTACGGCAGACTTTGAAATATAGCCGGTATATATAGCCGGTATAGTAATAGGCGAAAGCCTCCTTTTAATAAATAGCCGGCGTAATAATAGTATCCTACTATAGTATAGATATTCTTTAGTAATGCCTTTACTAGCTATAGTAATCTTATAAGTAACCTAGGCCTATTGCTAGTAAATATGAAAAATATTAGGTAGGCTATACTAAACAAGCTAGTCATTTAGCAGGAAAAGGCCTACTACCGTCTCTATATACCGGCTACGAGTGCCGGCTATCGCTCTAAATTCAACTCCGCCCTATCTCGGAGGCTAAGGTACCGAGCGGAAACCCTATAGCTTATATTTACTCGGTTGTCGCGGAGCGCTTATAGGTAAGGTATTAGAAAAGAGTATAAAAAGTACGAGAAGAGTATCCTAGGATATAGGTTATAAGTAAATAAGAGTAGTATGCCTAGTTATTTATATAGTACGTTACTCTATACGACTAAGAGCCTATATTATCTTATACTTCGCTTATAAGACCTCGACTCTACTAGTATACTATCGATCTCCTCCTCGGTCGCTAATACGCTATCTTAATTCTTCTTCGAGTTGCCGGACTTAGTACGTATCTATAGCTATGTAATAGCGCTACGTATTATAGAGAATCAACTCCGCCGTATCTCGAAGGCTAAGGTACCGAGCGGAAATCCTATAGCTTATATTTACTCGGTTGTCGCGGAGCGATTATAGGTAAGGTATTAGAAAAGAGTATAAAAAGTACGAGAAGAGTATCCTAGGATATAGGTCGTAAGTGAATAAGAGTAGTATGCCTAGTTATTTATATAGTGCGTTACTCTATACGACTAAGAGCCTATATTATCTTATACTTCGCTTATAAGACCTCGACTCTACTAGTATACTATCGATCTCTTCCTCGGTCGCTAATACGCCGTCCCAATTCTTCTTCGAGTTGCCGGACTTAGTACGTATCTATAGCTATATAATAGCGCTATATATTATAGAGAATTTCTCGTTAAAGTTTCTCTCTCGTAGGCTTGCTATCTGCCTCGTAGTATAGAGGATTAAAGTGCTAATACTAAAGAATCTCCTTATAGTTAGGATGCTAGGGCTCCTTAGGACCTTTATATTTTAGGTCTAAATAGAGACGTATTATAAACGTTCTATCG